TCCCGGGCGGTGGGCTCCTTTGCTGCCGGCTGCGGTACGTCCTGGAACACGGCCTCGAAGTGCCCAGATGGGTGCCATATGGCCATCGGGGAATGTGGCTGCCGGTCTTTCGCGCCGTAGCACGGAACGCGTTCCCCCTCTTTCGTCAACTTCACGAGTCTGAAGTTTTCTAGACCTGATACGACAGCCGCGGCCTCCATGTGTTTCCCGTCCCAATGTCCACCTTCATGTTCCGCCACCTTCACCCATGTATGTCTCCCTCTTCAAGATGAGTAGGAGAGGGTTGGTCAACAATACGTCGATGGGGCTCTCCTGTTCTTTGGCGGTGCCAAAGGTAAAGTCCTCAGTAAATTGCCCACGCTCCACTGTGGGGTGGATCTCTGCCCGTCCGAGGCTGGCTTCGTCGCGGCGAAGCTTGCGGATGCTGGCGAGTTGTTCCCGTTCCACGCGGGCTGTTCCGGGGGGAACCCCGGACTTGATCTGACGAAGATCGGTGATGGTGTGCGAACCACAATCCCCCCCGCCAGNAACCACTCGGGACAAGGAAACAGTGTGTAGTACCAGCTACTACATCGAAATGTGTATGTAATTTCGCTGTCTGTACTCCATATTTTGTACTTACCTTGACCTTGATATGCAACAACACTAGCCCACACTACCATAGAAGGTTGTCATGTGGACGGCCGTGGAACGGCAGAATTAAAAAATGAATGTGCATGGTTGATTTCGTCATGCCACCAAAAATATTTACACGTTTAGTCTGAGTCTATGTATGTACCTACAGCAGAGCAGTAGTATTGTGGTACTTTAGAAGATTATTAGACTATGAACAGCAGTAGTACCGCCGTACATGTGTAGTGCTCGACCTCTTCATGGGTTGCCGAAAACGGCAACCAAAAGATACCCTACTGGAGACAACTATCGACAGTCCACAGTGCACGGTGGACGGGAGCGTGGCAGCTGTTCTACTGCTGTTCTACGCTTCATACGTAAACTAAGTACATGTACATCCACGATATGTACAGCAGCGCTTGCATACCACCGACCGTTGATAAATTCAAATTCAATTTCGTGCTACATGCGCTTTGTTGGCGTACTACATGTGTAAGTGCTGCTGCTGTGAGCATGTTGGACAGGAATAACCCTTTTACTTGTCACATACCAGCACTCGGGCTACTCGTCCCAAGGTGCCGACCCATACACCAGCTAGCTGCAGCGCGGGTGTCAGGGTGCTGTTGCGCGCGGACACTGGAGGGTGGATGCGGACACACACGTGGATCTACAGCACACAAAACAGCTGACAAATGACCCGCGGAGCCTCTTCCCCTATAACCCCACTCCCTAGCACTGTCTCCATCGTCTCCTTCCCACCTGAGTCCACACGATTCAGCTTCTGGCCCACGGTCGGGGTTCAGGACGTTCTCTTCAGCCGTCAAGATAGAGCCGGACACAAATAACGGAAGATACCACACCCCCGCGCTTAGCTTTGGCCCAAAGTTGTGACCTCGTAGAGTTGCTCAAATTGCCCGGCGCTTGGAGGGTGTTCTTTTTGGTGGGTTAGGTATCGATAACACCCTGCTAAAAATTGGGATCGGCACTACAGCCGGAGGTGTTGCAACGTTTCCGTCATTTGCTATGGCTGAGCAAGAATTCGGGACCACCCCCGCCCCCCCCCCATTTTTTTGTCCGGAAAAAAAGCGAAAAATAGCCGTATGGAGCCCCCGGCAACACGTGTGTGGTGTTGACCGGAAGCAACGCGTAAGATTGGAAAAAAAGAAACTCTCGGAGAGGCAAAAACCTTCTTTTTTTTTGTGAATGTACTCCTAGAGTATGAAGTATTTTTTGGGGGGTAAAAAACGTGTTTTGAAAGGGATCGAACTCCCGACCTCCTCATTACTACTATGCAGACATACGTAGGCCTTCGCGAGAATTTTCTAAGTTTCGCCCCTTACCTGATCGAGGTTTCGTTTCGGACCTGAGGGAGTACCAACCCTTTTTGTACTTTGGCCCAAGACCTCAACATTTTTTGTCACAATCGTCATCTTCGTGAGGGTGACGACGTACCATTTTTTCGGTGCTGCACTTGGGTGCTGATCGATGCGCAGATGCCTCGCCGTGAGCGCCACATGAAAAATCTATTGCCACAGGAGGGTGCCCGACATTGTTAATGACCGGTTGCCCCGGTGGTCTAGTGGGTAGCCTCACAGTCTGCTAAGGGTCATGTCATGGGTTCGAGTCTCCGGCAGAGAGAGGTTTTTTTCTCACTAAATAAATCCTGGTCTAGGATGAAAGCGTCGCGCTGCAAAGCTCGTTTGATAGTAAACCATAATCGACTTCATAAGTCGCGAGGGAAGGGATTGCTGTACCCTTCTCGCGATAAAAATACCTCAGGCATGAACTGCAGGAGGGGGTCCAACCCCCCCCTCCTATGTGACCCCGGTTGGGTCGTCTAGCTAGTAGAAGTGGAGGATAGGGGCCAGAGGGGCAGACGACAGAGTCCAATGATGGGAGAAAAAAAAAAAATGTGCCAAGGGCAGCCATGTGTCGGTGTTCGTGTGGTGTGGTGTATTCCGTATGTGTGTGCTTCGTAAGCCTTGTGTTGGGTTGTTCCTGACCTCGACGCGAAGGCTCGCGTCGCTGGGGTGATTGGTACCCCGCTGCGGGCGAGCTTGCACCCATTTGTTTTGATCGAGGTTGCCAGCCCGACAAGGCAAGGTTATAACTGATTTCCTAATCCGGTAGAACACCGGCGGTTGGTAACTCAGCATCAACAGGTTATACAACGTATACCCAACCTGGGCAGGTTATGCCCGGGCACAACCTCCCATAACGTGCCCCACCGGCCACCTGTGTGCAAAAGTGTTCATTTTGGGTAGAAAAACAAGCTTGGCCTCACGCAGATGCCCAACAGCGGTCTGCTTGTAGTCCCTGTAGATTTGTAACACGTAGATTTGTACATTGAATTTAATACGGATATTGGTCAGCCGGATGTATTGCACACACGAGGTACATTGAGCCTTCAGTAGCGTGGTATGGGCCTTCAGCAGCGTGATTTGGGACGTGCATGCGTTTCCATTTTCAGAACGCTTCGTCATCTGCGCCTCCCTGTGCAGAGCACAGGAGGATCGGGAGGCATGTGTACATTGAGAATAGTACGCATTTTTTGTTGCCTTGAGCGACGTCTTCGGACTGGGACAGGACCTAGGTGCTTCGTCCCTCTTGTTTCTTCGATGTTGGTGCACCATTCGCGCGTCGAACAAGCTGTCGCGAAGCTGGTGCGACTGCCGCGCGTGGAGGGGCAGAAGATTGCACTGCTTTTTTTCTCGCAGCAGGTGCTCGCGGCACGTTCACCCAGCCGGGGTCAAGCGCGTGTTCTGTCGCCGACTACCGCAAGAATCTGACACCAAAGCTGCGGCTCTACACTCATCAGTCTAGTAACGGTTAACCGGGCAGTCTCGTGCAGCCGTTTCACTTCCAGATCTATCTTCGTGCTTCCGAAGTATCATCTCCCATCACTTGTGTGCAATTAGCAACCAGAGAGCCCTTCACCAAAGCTTAAAATGCTTGACAATTTTGGCCTCTGTTTCAACACATCTGCTATTGTGTGGCCAGACATGCGGAAGAAATGATGGGTATGATACTGGAAGCCGTTACGACAAAGAGCTGTCTCCTTGTGGAACGCAAAGTTCGGGGGCACCGTAGAAACCCGCCGGGCATACACCACCGCCCGTGCCGGACATATTCGGCAAAAGTGGGCGACCTATCTGTCCCACACGGCCAACTTGTGCCTGGAAGGCACTCAGGGCTCACTTTGGAGCAACACCACTGTTCCAAAAGGACTCGTAAGCAACGAAAAGGAGACTACAGGCAATTCGTGTCTACGCGTTTGCGTCGATAGCCGCGCAGGCTTATAGACAGGCTCTCGGGGTAACGCCCCGCTCGCGTTCGATGTGGCACCCGCTTGCGGGAGGCGGGTGGTAAGCCGTCGACGTGACCTTCACACAAACCCAGGTATGGTCGCCGCGCAACAAATATTAAGAATAGAAAAATTGAAGAAAACGTGCCACCTTCGCAGCTGGCAGGAACACGATCCCACACGCCATCCGAGCGCATGTAAGCCGAGCACGCTACAACCACAAGAAAGCTCCTGGTGAAGCGATAGTTCAAAATCGTTGGTTTCGCCGCATGCACCACCGAGGCACGTACCGTGACAAGGTAATCGCGGCATGCTCTGATCGATTCCCGCCCACGTTGGCCCAATGATCTACTCCCTCGTCCTCTCTGGCTTTTCCGCTGGCACAAGGCTATCTACGTCTTTCACAGCACCAGCAGAGAAAGGAAGCTACCTCCCTGGTACCCCAGGCACCCCGCCCGCCGCTGGCCCCCCTGCCCCCCCCTGCTGCGCCGCTAAGCTCTCTTCTGCTCGCTTGAGGATCACGCCGACCTGTGCGGCAAGACCCGTTAAAGCAAACGTAGAACGCCAAGATGTCAGAGGCGGCTGGTGGGTGCCGGTACGCCAGCTTGTCCTTTGGTCAGCAATATACCTTGACTGTATACAAATTTCTCTGTCTGTCTATCTGTCTGTCTGTCTCTTCTCTCTGTCACTGGAGATACGAGCAGAGGATGGTCGGGACATAACGATTCTATCAATGTATCTATTGCTGTGTTGCTCTCGTCGAGTTGAATTTGAACGTGTTCTCGTTGAGGCCCGCGCGGTGGGACGTTCCCACCAAGCAATAAGTCAGGGAAACCTTGACACCAACGGCAATAGCACCCTATCCTCCCTTGTCTTCTACGATGTCGGTCTAAATCACGGGGTGTCAGGGTGTGCGTGTGGAGAAAGCGTCCGCGGCGAAACCCTGCAGTTAACCATCGATTTCCTACCGAACGGCTGATCGAAACGGAGATATCTATCGAGGCGCGCGGGATGACCTCGCTATTATAGGCCAATCGAAGGGGTTGCATGCTCATGCTCAAACATACGATATATTTTCCGTCCTCCCTACTACTCTGCGAGACTCGGCGAGAATGCTCTACTTCCTGGCGGAACAAAATTCCCGTCATGGTTGTCACAAGCTCAAGGAAGCTGCAGGTAGGATAGCTAGCACAACTTCGAAGCAATACTGTGTATAAGAGTGAAAAAGAAACGAACACCCCACCTTGGCACCGTAGGAAGGAACAAGACAAAGCGGAATTTCCTCCTGAACGAGGGGACTGAGTTGAAGTAGCGTTTTCGTCCCCACACGTCGTACACGGTATGCGTACGTATGTATGCATGCAGCATCTTTTATCAACATCTTGGTGTCAGCGAGGATGTGTCGGTCTCGCACATACCTTTTCCTGCGCCTCCATGTACTTGCTGACGCATCGATCCACGCAGCTCATTTCCCCAACGTTAAGGTCCGACTCCCCGTGCATCTTGACGACGCACTTCTTGAAACACAAGCCGCTCATCCTGCCCGTCGAGCAGATGTTAGGAAGGGAGGGGGGGTGAGACATCCGTTGGTAGCTTTCCTTTGTGGGCGCCGATCACGCGCCCCACCTTTTCGACACGGAGGAGCACCGTTCCGCTTGTCAATGTCGAAAACGCACTCCAAACAGAAACACCACCCACAACCGGGTGCTATTTAGTAGCTTGTCCATCACTTCCACTGCTGTGTTTTAAATGGGAAAGTCTTGTCTTCTCGTCCAATCCTCTTACAGGCGAAGGGTCATCTCCTAGTGAATCAAAGCGGGGAAGCGGGGGGCGGGGGGGATTCATCATGCGTTTGAAACACGACGCCCCCTCTTCGATAACCGTTGTTGCGTGCCATCCCCGCCGAGATGGCTTGCGGTAGCCCCCGCTACGATCGGTTGATGTACCGGTGTTAAGTGCAGCATTTGCCACTTAGAACAAAGAGCGTCTGATGCTTGTTCACCGGTGTATTCACCTGTTCAGATGAACGGTTTGTCAAATACACGTGCGGTGAGCAATACGTAACAGCTGTGAACGAGCTTGCAGGAGGGCCTCGAAGGGAACACATCGACAAGGCGTCAGGGCATGCGTTATCAGACTGATCGCAGCACCGGCTCTGGTTACATACGGTGCGCTGCAAATGGAGCCGCGAGCACGGTACGAGCTCGTTCCCCCCGCTCTTCGACCGAAGCGAGGCATGGACAGATCCCTCCGCAAGGTCACCGATGTTAAAATAGTACGCTTACTGCACTCGCAGCCTGCATCCATCACCGCCAACGCCCGCGGCTTCGCCGCCGCTCTGGTCGTTAGCATCTACGGCAGGAGCAAAAGTAGTCCTCAACGATCGACTGCTATACTTGGGGTATGAATCTAAACTACTGCGTTGTTGTGGTGATGACACTTGCATACAGCTGTGGTAGCAGTTCTGGTGTGGTGGCGGGCAACGTTCTTGTGTCTGTCGACGAACGCACGCCCTAGCAAATATATGAGTGCGAGGGATACCGACCGACCAAACTGGGACTCTGGTTAAGCCTGTCCCAACGCCGACGATGTTGCCTAGAGAGGCACCTCCGAACAGCAGAACACTGGCATGCACCAACTAAAGTCTTGGGATCACCCAACACTTCGACTATCTCACTTTGTGAATAAGTCAGAGTACATATCGACCTCCTGCTTGGCGAGATCCATTGGACTGGGCCCCGAAGGCGGCTCTGGCTCCGAATTCCCGAACCAGCTCATCGTCGAAAGAGGCTGTGCACGAAGGCAGGGCGGCTGGTCGTGTGTGGGAGACAGGAAGCCTGGCCTGTCGTGCTCGTGCCCCGGGCGCCGTGCGTTGGTGTGAGGCGGCGGGGAGCGGCGGAATGGGGCAATGGACAAGTGAACGGAGGCATGTGGGTTTGAGTAGAGAACCGGTTCTAATATCGGGTTTTGTCTGCAATAGGCAGTACGTCATCAAACTACCAAATGTCACTACTGCTGTGCTTGGCTGTGTTGGTTGACGGACAGGGAGGAGGACGGCTGGAGAGAGGTGTACACGCATACATACGCGACAAGTAATAACGGCGGCTGAGGCAGAAGAACTGAGGGTTCGAAGACGTTAAGGTGGTCGCAAAATCTGAAGTCGAAGTCTTCGTATTCGTACGCGTATTACCCATTGGAAAGGCCACGCCAATTAGCTCAAGTAGGGTCCAGATATGCAGGTTGTTGTTGTTGTTGTTGTTGTTTCTCACATTAGCTCTAAAAAAGAAAGATTGGGAGCCCGTGGTCTCAAAACCCGGCATACACGACCCCACGAAGAAACAGAAAAAAATAGGGTACAGGTGTCGTCCCTCAACCCGCACTGCTGTAAATGCTCCAAGGCATCTCTCCAAACGAGGCGTCTAACCTCGAACGGGATGTTGTTTGATATTTCGGTCCGCGTGTGGTTTGCATACCATCATGGAGTTTAGAGTCGGAGGCTTCTGCTGTGTCAACGGCATCGACGGCGGCAAGGAACCTTTTCTGTGCCGCGAGGCGGTGCGACCCCTTGCATCATATCGACGGTAAGCTACTATTCGCGCAACAGGTATTGTGTCATGATCAACACGCAGTGAGCATAAACGAGCAAATGGATGTATGTACTTGGTACCTCTTGTCGATCGGGTAGAGAACCTTAGTCTGCATCATGCCTATGTACATATTCTAGCCGAAGACACAACAGTCAGCGTTCCCCCGCGATACACAGCATCAGTTCTCGTAGCTCCGCCTCGCCCGTTGGCGCAATGGCCGTGGTTCAAGCTCACCATAACCGTATACTCTCAACTTTATTCGGGGGTATTTTTCCTACACTACTCAGGCCAGCCCGGTGTAAAATATCGACATTATTGGGCACGTCTTTCTCTGTACAGCGGCAGCTAGTATTTTCTCGCGCTTCATTGTAAGGGGCCGGGCGATGGCCCGCCCGAGCCGTTTCGAGTTGAAAACACCCGAGGACCACCAACACACCGCCACCTGATAGAAAGGCGTTCATCATGCCATCTTGCTTCACGCTCGGGATTGCTGTAACCAACACTCCGGGCCAATGGAAAGTCCTTCATCAATTGAGTGCAAGAGATGCGGACGCGGGGGCAATCGCCTCCGCCCCGCCCCCCGTTGTGGTAGTAGGTGACTACGTAAAGAGTCGCGGCACAGCATTTAGAAGGGGCGTGAAAGATGGCGTACGACATTTATCACCACGTGTGTGTTTGTAGTGGATGCACATGCGCCGGGGGTGTGGTGATTGGTCTGCTCTCTGTCGAGAAAAAAATAGATCAGAGGAAAACAGAAGTGCTGCAAGGAATGTTGTTGCGCGCGGTGAGCATTGACGTAGAACAAAAGAGTCGAGTTGAACAGCAATGTTTTTTTCCGGCAGGTATTCACTGTAACACACTGGTCGCCCCGGTGGTCTAGCTGGAATCCTCAAATCTTCTAGGTCAAGTCAGCGGTTCGAATCCCGGCGTAAGCGAGCTTTTCTTGCAAAGTTAATTTTTCTCTCGCTTCCGCTCCTGGCATAGTAGATAGCGCTAGTTCGCGTGTACACAGAGGGAAGAGAGTGCTGAAACTCTTATCGCATTACAAATCGAAGGCAAAGTACCCCAGGAGGGAAGGGTAGAGAGGGGCTCTTCTGTGTGACCACAGGTTAGAGTAAACGGCACTAGTGCTGTGAGTGCTGATTTGAAGTGAAGACAAGAAGAAAAAAAAAATGTGAAGACCGTGACATCAACAACAATGTTGCTGTTGCACCGTAAAAAGGAGGAAAGGGGGCGATTGAGGCTGAAAATTGAGGTCTGTTCGCGCGTTGTGAGGTATAGGTTGTTGTTGTTGTTGTTGTTGTTGTTGTTGTTGTTGTTGTTTCTCACATTAGCTCTATAGTCCACAAAAAATGGGGAGCCCGTGGTCTCAACACCCGGCACATACGACGCCGCGGGGAAACAAAACAAAAATAGGGTACAAACCACTCGGAAAAAGAAAACGAAATGATAGAAAGAAAAGAACAGGTATCGCACCGACCGTTCGAGAGAAGAGCCCTCGGAAACCGATCAAAAAAAGACAAAAACAAAAATAAAGGAGGACGCTTCCCACACCCGCCCAAAGGAAAAATCAAAGGGTAACGTACCAGCACCAGGCACTGCGCACCAGGGCATGGGAGTAGCAGAGCAAACAGGACAAAGAGGCGGCAGATGGGCAGACAGCCAGACGTACAAAAACAAAGGCAACAGCAAAGCGAGATCAAGGTACCCAACACAGCAGAGTAGGCAGGGAGGTCATGAAAAAAGAAACACAACACAGAGGCCGAAGGCAATAAAAAGGACATACATGAAGGAGTATAGCATACAGCAGGGAGGGAAAGAGGGCGCAACAATATCAGTACATCATTCGCCACAAGTGCTGCCTCGGCCGCCCTACTCGCTTCTACAGTAGTGCCCGGTCGCCGTTTCTTCCCTCCCACCGCCGCTTCCCCGGCTCTCTTTCTCTTCGGTCCTGAGATGGCCGTACTCTCTGCTTCTGCTTCCCTCGCCCGCTGGCGCTTCGCGGATGCTTCCGCCTCCTGCATGTGCCATTTCCTCATGAACTATGCCGCCCCGTCCTCGACCTTGTTGTACCACACCTCCGGGTCCTTGGCGCTCTTTTTCCATTTACCCCCTTCCTTTTCGTCTCCCATGTTGAAGGCCACGAGGTCCTCTCCTAGACGAGACACCCAGTCGCTCTCCTGCCCGCCCCGGTATCCCACGCCCCCCGCCATCGCTCCTAACAGCATGCGCTTGGGGAGGCGG